TTTATTATTATTATTATTATTATTTTTTTTTATATACCAACTTTGTAACTTTTACAGGAGCACCATTATATTCTCTATGACACCAGGATCCTTATTTTTAAGTATTTCTCAACTTTCTTAATGCCGTAGAATTATCAAGTCCTAAACTTGGTTTCTTATATGATTTTCATTGGTGATTCATCCACTTTTTCCTAATAAAATTTTCCTTCTAATGGTCGATAGAACTTATAGTTTGATTATCGATTACTGAACTGACAATTCTAATTGAGTACAACCTTTAATGCATTGATATACATTTTTTTCATGGCAAAAATGTTAGTGTAGGGTCTCTTTGTTTTGGGTACTTTCATTTAATGCATTGATATTCAATTTTTATTTGTAAACTCATCAAAAAATTGTTATCACAAATATATAAAATGAATCTGATGTCCAAATTCGCTGGGAAAAAAAAACTCAAACATTAATTTTTAAAGAAAAAAGTGTAAACCGCAAACCGCCTGCAACCGCCCCCACATCCGCAAACCCTATCCGCATAAACCGCAAACCGCACTGCGGGCGGTTGCGGGTTGACTTTTTCTCAAACCGCATAGATGCGGGCGGGTCAAAATCGAACCGCAAACCGCACAAAACCGATCCGCGAACACCCCTAGTGGAAGGTACAAGAAAATTTCTTGTACAACTAATAATAGTATGGCAATAAAGCTTCCAGTTTCTTGCAAAAAAATACAAAAAAATACAATAAAGTTTAAATTTGTTATAAAAGTAGTTACTTATAATTAGAATTTCTATTTTCTTACAAAATTTTCATTCTAATCAAATTCATAAGAGAAAAGATTTTTTTTTCTTTTCCTTTCTTTTTTCCATTTTACTTTCTATCATTTTCACTTTCCATAATTTATTTCTTTCTAATCAAAAGGAGACTGAAAGAACAAAAAACTACTAAAAAAATTCAAACAATACACAACAATCATTGACGTTTTTTCATACAATTAAAAAATAAAAATAAATCCCAAACACACATTAATTTTGCTAAAAAAAATTTAAAAAAAAAATAAAAAATCAAATCCCAAACAAAACCTAAATATTCTAAGATACTCCATAAGAATGCCCTCTGCAATAGATTTAAAAAAAATAAATAAATAAATAAATTATCAATGAAGAAAAACTTCATTGATGAAATAATGATACAAGACAAGTGACATATATCAATAAAAAGTGATTGCAAAAAGTATCAAAGGAAGCTAAATGATTCCAATTAGATTTGCATTGAAAAACCAGCACAATCATTAGCTAACATAACACGAAGCTAGCGAGAAGCCAATCAAAAGCCAAAAAACAAAACAAATATAAACAGCTTTGTTACAAGGAGCCACGGGGTGCTTAGAACTGAAATATAAGCAGAAAAAAATATAAATAATTTTCATATAGAATGGTATAATTACATTGGGACTTTTCATTTTTAAATAAAGTGTGTATTAAATTAAATTTAATTAAAAAGTATTACTGATATATTATTCTAGTAAATTTTTTTGTCAAAACATTTATTGTTCTAGTAACTCATGGCTTCCCGTGGAGGTTGGCAACCGGTCTTTCGTCGTCGTGGAGTGATAAAGGCTACAAGGGACTCAAAGGGAGGGAAGCTAGTTACAGTATTTGTGGACAACATCCCTGACTCAATGAATCCGAAAAGTTTGTTTCAGTTGTTTGCAAAGTTTGGCATTGTTAAGGATGTGTTTATCCCAAAGAAAAGGAGAAAGATCACTGGTTCGAGGTTTGGCTTCGTTAGGTACGATTGTTCGGTTGCAGCTGAGATGGCAGTTCAAAGAGCGGATGGACTGTGGTGTGATGATAAAGCACTGAGGGTTAAAGGGGCTGAGTTCAAGAGGGAAGATCCTGGAAAAATCAAACAGTCTGAGGGCACCAACCAGAGGGCTCAAAATATGGTTCGGAACAGTCACTGGGCTGATCACAGAGGAGGTAAGCAGACTAAGCAGGACCTTGGAGGGCCAAAATCATATGCGGAGGTAGTTGGAAAAGGGCTGGCGCAGGGTCGAGAGGAAGTGGTGGTTCACGCTTCAGAAGAGGGTAATGGGTGGCTGTATGAAAGCCTGATAATCAAGCTGGATACCTTCTTTTCCTTTTCAGCTTTCAAAGAGGAATGTCAGAAGAGGGGTCTTCAGGAGGTAGTGGTGAGAGCCGGTGAAGGTAGACTTGTAATCCTAACGTTCCCATCAGTTATGGTGATGAAAAGACAGAAGGAGGAACTTAAGGAATGGATTTTTGACTGGTGTAGCTCAATGGAGGAGTGGGATCCGAGATGTAGTGTTATCCAAGAATGGTGTGTTTGGATTAACTGCTTTGGAGTTCCTCTCAATCTATGGAGTGTGGCTACATTCAAAAGTATAGGGGCTGTCTGGGGAGAAGTAGTGCAGGTGCATGAGGATACTATCAAGCATGTCTCTTTTTGCTGTGGGAAAATACGAGTCATCACAAAGTCCATGGAGCTTATCAATAGGACTGTTCGTTTGAGTTGCAAGGGAGTCCTGTACCCAGTAAGGGTTTATGAATGTCCTGAGTTTGTGGAGATGTCAGCGAGCAGTAAGAGCTGCTCTGTTAATGGATGGAAGATGCCCATAGGCCTTCAGGGTGAGGAGAAGAGGGATAGATATTCCAATGTTGGAGGGGATCAGAGAAGCAGCGTAGTGAAGACCAGAGGGATTGAGGTCAGGGATGATGAGGTGGCCTGCAGTGATGAGGTGGACCAATGTAGCAAGAGCATGTTACTAAGAGATGGAAGCCACGTAGCAGTGCAGCCTAGGGGAGAGATGAATGGTGCAGGTTCTGATAGTCAGGTGCCAGAAACATGCTTGCTTGTTACCGAGGGGAAGGTGGAGAAACTAAACAATGGGGTGAGCTGGCTGGCAGGGGAGCAGCTGCAGCTGCAGATGGAGACTTCAAGAAGAATGTTTGGGGAAGTAGTGGGTGCAGAGGATATTGTGACCCCTGGGTTTGTTAAAAGCCTTAGTGGGTCTGATGAAATTGGGCCGAGTATCAATATTGAGGTAGTGCTAGAAGGGGCTCAGTTAAGAGGTGATCAAAGTGGGCCTGCGGCATCAAACAATAACAGGGAGGTTGACAGAGTTCAGAGTGTTGAAGCCCAGCCCAAGCTGAACCAAATAAGGGTGCTAGGTGGTCCAAGCAATGAGGATGTGCAGCTAACAGTAAACAAACCAGAATCGGTGGTGAGAAATGGTAGTATTCGAAGGAGGATGGGCAGAGCTGGAGGTACCAGAGGAAGGGGGAAAAGGAGAGCTCAAAGCACCCAAACTTCGTTCGTATCTGGGTTCAATAGAGGAGCTGTCTTGAGGGCAGCAGCTGCGGCTTTATCTCAGTCCTTGTCTAAAGAAAGTCAGGAGCGTAGGAGGAGGAAGAAGAGAGTGGAGGAAGCAAGCGAAATCCTGCAGCTTGGTAACCGATTGGGGATGAACTGTGAAGGCAAAGAGGCTGAAGTACTTCAGAGAATAGTTCAGATGGAGCAACAAGATGAAGATCGATTGGTAAAGGAGATAGGGGATGTGCTGGGTCCAGCGTAACCGATTAAAAGCTTGGGGTTTATTTAGGGGAGTTAATAGTTATAAATGAAGATAATGTCCTGGAATGTCAGAGGGTTGGGTAGGGCAGATAAACGGCGGAGAGTTAGACAGGTTATTCAGGATAGAAAGGTGGATGTCCTGCTTCTTCAAGAAACAAAAAAAAGTAGTGTGGAAGAGATGTTTGTTCGCTCAGTTTGGCCTTGGGAGAGGATGGCGTTTATGGCGGTTGATTCTGAAGGTAGTGTTGGAGGGCTATTGAGCATATGGAACCCAGAGGTGTTTCAACTAAAGGAGTGTTGCGGTCATAGAAATTTCCTGCTCCTATCAGGTGTAACTCTTAATTCCTTTGAATGTGTCTTTTTAAATGTGTATGGGCCTAATGATGTGTCAAAAAGAGTAGAGTTATGGGACACCTTTGGTAATATTAGAACTAGTTTCCAAAGGCCCTAGTGTATGGGAGGGGATTTTAATGTTATTAGAAATATAGAGGATAGAAGAGGCTGTGCAAGGAGAGACAGAGGAATGGTAGAATTTAATAATTTCATTGACCAAATGGAGTTGGTGGAAATTCCTTTGTTAGGCAGAAGATTTACGTGGTGTAACTCCATGGCGGGAGAGCGGTGGAGTAAGATTGATAGGTTTTTGCTGGACGTAGTATGGTTGGAAAAGTTCAGGTTTCAGATGTGGGGTCTTCCCAGATTGGTATCTGATCACTACCCACTTCTGTTGATGGAAGATGAGAGGAATTGGGGGCCTAGGCCATTTAGGTTCCTTAATGCTTGGAGATTACACCCTGGTTTCATTTCAGTTGCTCAAAAAGCTTGGTCGAAGAATCAAGTTCAAGGCTGGGCTGGTTGTAGACTGCAAAGAAAGTTAGGCGGTATGAAAGCTGAATTGAAAAAATGGAATAGTGAAGTTTTTGGTCTGGTAGAGGACCAACTAAAAAAAGTAGAGGAGGAGTTGCATGAATTTGACCTGTTAGCAGAGTTAAGGGAGTTGACATCCGTTGAGATTGAATCTAGAAGGGAGACAAAACATTTGGTTTGGAAGCTTAGGAAAAAGAAAGGACTGGCTATGGTTCCAAAAGTCTAGGTTGAATTGGGCCCAACTTGGGGATAAGAACACAAGGTATTTTCACATTTGTGCCAGTAAGAGGCAAAGAAGAAATATGGTGGACTCAGTGGTAGTTAATGGGGTTAGAATTGAAGATCCTGAGTTTGTGTGGCTTGAAGTGGTCAGATATTTCTCAAAGGCTTTTGCTGAAGAGTGGCCATCCAGGCCTAAGATGTCTGGAAACTTTGCATCAATTAGTAATGCTCATAGGGAGGAGGTTCTTGAACCTGAGTTTACAATGGAAGAATTCTGGGAAGCAGTAAAAGAATGTGATGGGAATAAAGCACCAGGGCCGGATGGATTCAACATGGCATGTGTTCAGAAATGTTGGAAGTTCATGAAGAATGACTTGTTTGACTTTATGAAGGAATTCTACCATCAAGGTAATCTGGTTAGAGGGCTTAATAGTTCCTTCATCACACTTGTCCCCAAAAAAGAGTGCCCCAAAGGTTTGTCAGATTATCGACCTATTAGTTTGGTGGGGGTTGTTTATAAAATCTTAGCAAAGGTGCTGTCGCGAAGGTTGAAGAAGGTGTTACCAAAAGTCATCAGTGAAGTTCAGACAGCTTTTTTAGGTGGAAGAAACATTTTTGATGGAGTCATGATTGCTAATGAGGTTGTGGATTGGTGGAAGAAGTCAAATGGGAAGGGAGTCATTTTAAAGCTTGACTTTGAAAAAGCTTATGATTCAATTAATTGGGAGTATCTACTTTCCATGATGGCAAATTTAGGGTTCGGAGAAAGGTGGATTAGATGGATCAAAGCTTGTGTTACCATAGCTAGAGTCTCTGTCTTAGTTAATGGTTCTCCTAAGAATGAATTCTGCCCCCAAAAGGGGTTGAGACAGGGTGATCCGCTGTCACCCTTCCTATTCAATGTTGCAGCAGAAGGGTTGAATCTACTGTTGGAAAGGGCTAAGAGTTTGGGTGTAATAAAAGGAGCTACTGTTGGATCTACAGGATTGAAATTATCTCACCTCCAGTTTGCAGATGATACTCTCTTATTTTGTGCAGCAGAGTGGGAGGAGATTGTTAATGTCAAAAGAATTCTTAGATGCTTTGAGGTGATGTCAGGGCTGACAATTAATTTTCATAAAAGTGTGGTGTGTGGTGTAGGCATAAGTGATGATCAGGTTCAGGTATTTGCTTCGTCTATGCATTGTGTAACTCAGAAGTTACCTATCAAGTATTTAGGTTTACCTCTTGGTGCAAATCCTAGAAGAACAAAAACTTGGCAACATGTGGTGGATAAGGTTAAGTCAAGATTAGCTCTTTGGAAAAGGAAGCTCTTGTCTTTTGCTGGTAGGCTAACACTGGTCAAATCAGTTATGGATAGTTTACCGGGGTACTATATCTCCATTTTCAAGTTGCCCAAAGGAATAGCAAAGGAAATTGATAAGTTGAAGGCTGCTTTTTTATGGGGCAGTTCTGAGTTACGGAGGAAGATTCATATGGTAAAGTGGAAGGATGTAACACTTAGTAAAGATAAGGGAGGGCTGGGTATAAGGAAGGCTAAGGAATCAAATGACTGCTTGTTACTAAAGTGGTGGTGGAGGTATGGGGTGGAGGATGAGTCACTGTGGAAGAGGGTTATTGTCAGCAAGTACGGGGCTGATGGAGGCAGGTGGCTCCCAATACAGAATGGGGAAGGTAAGGAATCTGTTGTGTGGAGTGATATCCTGAGTGTGGCTGCATTAAATCCTGAGTTGTACCAATTTTTTGTCTCAAAACTACAGATTGTGGTAGGGAATGGGAGTAGGATTCTGTTTTGGCATGATAGGTGGTGCATGAATTTGAAGCTGAAAGAGGAATTTCCCAGGTTATTTAGGCTTTCTTTGGAGAAAGAAGAAAAGCTCAGTCACTTTATGCAGAGGAGGGATAGTGATGGTCCTTGGAGTCTACAGTTTAGAAGACCTCTGTTTTCTTGGGAGGTAGAGGAGATAGGAAAGCTGCAAGAGTTAACTAAGGATGTCCCCAGGTTGGATGACAATCTGTGTGATGGTGTAAAGTGGACAACATCCTCGTCTGGTGTGTTCACAGTGGCATCTGTGAGATCCTGGCTTCAGAAAAATTCTGGAACTAGCTTACAGGTTCCTAAGATGCTATGGAATAATCTGGCACCACCTAAAGCCCAGTTCTTGTGTTGGCTGGCTTGGAGAGGAAGGGTAAAGTCTGCAGTTGTTCTGCAAAGACTAGGGGTGTTAGGGGGTAATGCAAATGTTGCCTGCCCTTTCGGTCTTGCTGCAGAAGAATCAGTAGATCATCTGTTTGTGCAGTGTCCTGAAATATGGAAGGTTTGGGGAAGGTTGCTGCAGTGGTGGAATTTATACTGGGTCTCTCCTGCTACTGTGGATGGAGTTCTTTCCTGGTGGTTGGGAACTAAGCATAGGAAACTAGTAAAGAAAATCTGGGTGATGGTCCCAGTGGCAATGCTGTGGTCAACATGTCTATGGAGAAAGAAGAAAAGCTCAGTTACTTTATGCAGAGGAGGGGTAGTGATGGTCCTTGGAGTCTACAGTTTAGAAGACCTCTGTTTTCTTGGGAGGTAGAGGAGGTAGAAAAGCTGCAAGAGTTAACTAAGGATGTCCCCAGGTTGGATGACAATCTGTGTGATGGTGTAAAGTGGACAGCATCCTCGTCTGGTGTGTTCACAGTGGCATCTGTGAGATCTTGGCTTCAGAAAAATTCTGGAACTAGCTTACAGGTTCCTAAGATGATATGGAATAATCTGACACCACCTAAAGCCCAATTCTTGTGTTGGCTGGCTTGGAGAGGAAGGGTAAAGTCTGCAGTTGTTCTGCAAAGACTAGGGGTGTTAGGGGGTAATGCAAATGTTGCCTGCCCTTTCTGTCTTGCTGCAGAAGAATCAGTAGATCATCTGTTTGTGCAGTGTCCTGAAATATGGAAGGTTTGGGGAAGGTTGCTGCAGTGGTGGAATTTATACTGGGTCTCTCCTGCTACTGTGGATGGAGTTCTTTCCTGGTGGTTGGGAACTAAGCATAGGAAACTAGTAAAGAAAATCTGGGTGATGGTCCCAGTGGCAATGCTGTGGTCAACATGGAGGCTTAGGAATGAGATTGTGTTCAAGGGTCATCTACCAGATATGTTGGAGCTTGGTGAGTTAGTAAAAGTGAGGGTGGGGTTGTGGGTTCGAGCTTCATTGCCTTCTGTCCATTACTCAGTGCATCACATAGTGGAGAACCTGAGTCAGGTGCTGTTATGCATCTGAGATATGTGGAGAATCTGCGGATCATGTATGCTGTGTTTGTGGTGTCTATATATATATAACCATATATAAAAGTGTACAACTGTGGTATAACACAACTATTTCCTAACGCTTAATTGCCTCGAATGTGGCTCATGGGTCAGTCAAAGCCCCAGCCGAATGTCCGTGATGGTGCGCCTTTGTGCTAAAAAAAAATGGTTCTTTTTGTTATTTTGTGTGTTCAAATGATGCGTCTAATGCTCACAATACCATAATTGTCCCTATTTCTATGAGTGAAAGTCTACAATTGCCCTTGTTGTTTCTGTTTATTACAACTCACATGTATGACAGTGTAGTTGTTTGTTGTTGAATTGGAAAGATGGTGAGTTGTCTTCAGAGACCACCATCTATCCCTCAATTGCTTTTCCAAGAATTCTCCATATGCTACAAGCGGAAGCAGTGGTTAGGCCCAAAGAATTCACTTACGTGTCATTTTCAACTCTTGTTCCCAATTTTCTGGTTTACGTGTCTTCTTGGCTGTGCGCCGTTTGAGTGAGGTAGGTCTATGTGTCTTCCGTTTAGTACTGCAACAGAACCAGGTCGATCCCACCATCTCTCCCTCCTAGAATTTTCTTGTGTTCGGTGGATTAAATTTGCAATCAAACGATTCTCTCTCAGCCAACATTACAACAAAAAGCATTTTTGGTGACGTTTCTTAGCAACCAAATTGAATTTAGTTGCCAATTGTATGTTTTTGGTGACAATATACGTGTTGGTTGCCAAAAAATACACTATTAGCAACAAATATCTCAATTGGTCGCCAAAAATGGCTGGCGCCAATTTAATTTTTTGTGCGAGAGCACTAAAAAAGTTTTGGCGACCAAATTAATATATGGTGACGAAACTGTTTGTCGCCAATTGTGACTTTTTGGCGACGGAATTAAAATAGTCACTGAAAGGTGAATGATATTTATGGCAACATAATGATTTCGTCGCCAATAAATTTCTTGTCAAAACGACGTCGTTTTGAATCTGTCTTTTTTTTTTTTCTCCCTCTCACTCTCACTCTCTCACACTGTCTCATCTGCCTCTCTTTCTTCATCATCAATTTCATTCTCTTGTTCGGCATTGCAGAACACAACACAACATTGATAGTGGGACTGATTTTTCCCTCACTCTCTCATCTTTCTCTTTTTCTTCTTTGTCATCAATCTAATTTTTCGGACTGATATTCTGATTTTTCGGACTAATATTATGATTTTCAGGACTGATATATTCTAATTTTTGGACTGATTTTGGAACTGATTTTCGGGACTGGTATATTCTGAATTTCAGACTGATTTTAGAACTGATTTTTAGATTTTGGGACTGATATTCTGATTTTGTATTTTTTGGGAACTGATATTATAATTTTGGGACTGATTTTGGGGCTGATATTTTGATTTTGGAACTGATTTTGGAATACAGGACAACACTTCGTTGTTTGTTTGTTGTTGTTGTTGTTCATTTCAAAGGCTCATAGACAACACTTCGTTGTTTGTTTGAATGATTCTGCACTAATTGATATGTGATATTGTGCTAGACTTGACTCAGCAGCTCTTGTATTAATCTTTTGGATGATGTTGTATGTGGTAGATGATCTCTTTTCTTCACTTTATGGTTTTGTTATCTTATAATAGTTGGAAAATTTTCAGGAATTTTTTATACTGTTTAAGCTTTTTTATGTAGTGTTTCATATTGCCAGCTTCAGATGTGATCTACAGTAATCTGGTTGT